CATTGAGCCAGCCCACACGCTGGAGAGGTCAAACTCACAGACATCGCACCAAAGGCCGGGGACTCGGAAGGGCTGAAAGGCTTCATCTGGAAACAGGCACTGCTCACAAGCCCAGCTATACTCAAATCTCAACATCTGCCTGCATCTATGTCCCCGACTTTGCAATCCTGTCCCTGGTGCTGAGTTTCTGTCGACTAATTTATCTACACACAAGGATGCTGTAGGCAACTGAGCTACTGCTACGAGCTTTGCAAAATTCAACTACTAAAGGAAATGGGAAGGAGAAAGAGCCAGAGAGAAGAGCAAGATGAGACACCATGGAGGACCTGGAAAGGCTAAATAGGGTTAGGCACCTGCCAGCCCCCTCACCCAGGGAAACGGAGAAAGAGTTCCTTCTGCGGAGGCAGGTAGAGCACAGGGAGGGCTCCTGGGAGACACAGAAGCAGGGTGGGGGCCAGAAAGAGGGAGGTTGACAGAGCGACACTGATAAGGCTGGGCGGCACTGATAAGGCAGAACGACACTGATAAGGCCCACCTCAAGAGGAGGGCCGCCTCCTAGGAGGCATCAAGGTGCAATCGTCTTCCTTTCTCTCTTCCCTGAAGACCTGAGTTCCAGCCTTCACAGAGCCTCATGTGCGTTCTTCTTTCTGGATGCTAACCCCAAATTCGACACTCAATGGTGCACCTCAGGTACCTGCCAAGGATCTGTGGGCCCGCATGGAAGGTGCAGGGTCTGGGTCCCTGGATGACAAGCTGAGGGGCAGATGGGTGACCAAGGAAGGGCATGGCCCAGAGCTGCCGGGACTCATGGAGGATGGGCTGTGGCCAGGACTTCAGGAAGGGTCGGGCACAGGTCGGAAGGGTCCTCAGGTCCAGCCTCTACCAGGAGGTGTTTGCAGCCCCCAAAACACTCACACCTCAGGGTGAAGGATAAAGGCACATTGTTGAAACACACAACTATATAGATGGACCCAAGGCCGGGCGCCTTCCACACTTCCCTGACAGCCACATGCTGACACTTCCCAGGGAGATGAGGATCCATCCTCCTGCCTCCAGCTCTGGGACTGCCGCGGGTTGGCGCCATCACTGCAGCAGCATGCTGAGGCCCAGGTTCCGGTGCTTCGTCTCCAGCTCCGACACCGCCTGCAGCAGAGACCTGAGCAGTGACCTGAGTGAGAAGGAGGAGGGGCTTCTCAGCCTCCTGCAGGAAGTGCTCCTCCTCCTCCACAAAGGCGGCCCGCAGCTTCTTGTTGTTGGTCAGTGCCTTCTTCCTACGGTCCATCACCTGTCCCTTCCACACTGCAGCTGCTGACTCCGCCTGGCCATGCAGATCCCAGGCGTCATTCAAGTCCTTTCTCATGATTTCCACAGACCCCTTGTTCTCCTTGCCACGCAGCACCTTCCTCCAGCGCGGCTCCCACTCGGGTGGCTGGGGGCCCACAGCCACGCGGCAGGCGGCACA